TTGGGCAAGAGGCCGCGAGCCAGTGTCGTGACATGGAGCTCTCCGCCTATTGAACGACGATGGTCTCCACCAGTGCCCGGAGGTTCCAGTGGATTGCTTGTTCCAAGGGGTCAGCCGGCTCGGGGAGGCCGAGCAGAAGCATTGCTACAGCAGCGATGTTCTGGTCAGCTCAAGCGAACTGAAGGGGGTCGTTCCCTCCATCCAGGATGTTGTGCTGGACCTGACTGGCGTGACCCTAAGCGCCGCTCGCCAGGTTATGCGCGCGTGGCGCAGCGTGCTACGCCGAGCATGCCAGCGCAGGTGGTGGCTGGCTCTGCTGCCTTTGTCGTAACTTCTCGCCATGCTTCTGCGCACGCGCAAGGGCCTCCGCATGAGGGTCCGGAGGGGTGTGAGTCTGTAGAGACTCCGCTACTACCGGTGGCTATTCCAGAGCGTCCGCCATAGCGCACTCCCAGGATAGAGGGTGGCCAGGTGCCACGACGTCGCCGATGCTGGAGCCGTCGCTTTCGATCTCGTCATCAACGAGGTCATGAAAGGAGGTGGAGCGTAGCCCGCCATCCCCATGAATTCGGATGTGAGAGGGGGCAGCATCAACATATTTTGGAGCCCCCACACATACATGTCTGTGGGGGACGCGAAGCCATAGGGGAACCGGTCACACGGTGGTCGTGGTAGGGACAACGGGGTCCCTCCGAAGAGCTGGCGGAAGGTATTAAACAGCGAGTAAAGAACAACATGTACGTTACTCACTGTGGAGTTTGAGCTCAGTATGGGCTCAAGGCGAAGCATGAGTGTCTCGATGTTGGGATCGTCGAGTGGCCCAGGGCCGGTGGAGAGCGCTCCTCCTCCACTAGATGCCGAGATGAGCGCCCCTTCACGGAGGCGTAGTACGTCGAGTCGGTAGGCGATGAAGTCAAGACTTCCGAAGAGGAAAGTCTGGAGCAGCTGGAAGACGGGAGGAACCCACATCCCAACAGGTGGGAGCGCAGGAAACTCCAGTGAGCCAAAGCGAATCGTATCGCTTGAGCCTGCCATGCCGAAGATGGTGGAAAGGTGGGCCATCAGATGACCAAAAGCGTGAATGCACGGCGTCCTTCCCACGGACGGCGCCAATTGTCGGTGCGAAAAGTGACCAACAAGTAAATATTTATAGTTTTGCCGTGCGTCGTGATCAGATATGGCCTAGCACTCAATGACACAGGATTTATACTGGTTCAGGCAACGTGCCCTACGTCCAGTTTCAGTTGGTTGATAACTTTATTCCTGAGCCTAGGTGCTCAAAGTTTGCTGTGGGGTTACAAACGAGCAGGAATGAAAAGGGGGTGTTAAAGGCCCGGTCGGACTCTGAACCAAAGGGCAGAGAATGACGGGTGCTCTAACGTGCGCTAAGTATTGAAACGTATGTGTAGTATAGCTTTGGAGTTCTAGAGCTATTGAGCTGTTCGAGTCCTCAGGTCGTCGAGACCTCGAATCGTCTAGCTTCTCTTTTCGGGGGAGAACCAGAGCAAGCCAGAGAGAACGTCCTATAGAGAGGAGAGAGCGCATCCCCTTTTATAGTTGAAGGGGATGGCCTTACAAGTCAGAGAAAGAGAGAATGGATACGTGTGCTACCTAGTCTTGTTGCCCACGCTGTCGGGTACGAGATAGTCGTCGGCGCCCACAATACTGTTTATGTTAGACGCATGTGGTAGGCTCTACCGTGTTCGCCTGGTATGGCAAACATCGGCGCCTACAATATTGTTTGTACTCTGACACGCCTGGAAGGTTGGATAGTGCCCGTCTGGCATGGCCTGGTGGCACCGTCCTGAAGGTGCGCAGGGCATGGTAGGGTACGGTCCTCGTTATTGCGGTTGACTGGAGCACCTTACCTTATCTGTTTTGCCTGATCCCTGGGCCCTCACCGAGCGGGCGTCCCCGGTCGGTCGTTCCCAGTTGGCCCCGACCGTGTCGGTCGGGGAAGAATCATGAGCAGAGGTCCGGCGTATCCCGGTCGGGAAAGGAGGCCGGAGCCAGACTGTGTCCCCACCATAGCCAGGCCTTCCGGTCGGGGACTGGATCGTTCCCCTGACTTGTTATTATGTATCTGGGCCAGCCCGGGAGGCGCACGTTGTCGCAATGCCGTCTACTGGGCCGAGTTTTTTTGCAGGGAAGAGGGTCCATTGGGGATCCCGGTTTATGAACCCGACAAACACCCTCATTACACCACCTTTATTAAAACTTACACCTAGATACACTTTATAGGGTCCAAATCATAAGTTGTTTTAGTTCCATCTGAAGTCTAACTTTTCTGGATCAAAGTTTATAAGAAAATATGCAAATATTTAAAAGCCAATTAATAACCGGTTTTGCTAGCTATGTACACTGAAATGACTGCAGATCGTCGATCTAGATGACCATTATCATATATTATCTTATATGAGGTAATAGCAAAAATATATATATACTTATTTTCTCTCTCTTGAGAAATAGGAAAGATAAGAAAAATATTAGGCAAGGTATCTATTAGCTAGACCTAACATACATCGCATGGATATAATTTCCATTCTTGATCTTATTAGATTTAGCTTTTCTGCGTGATTAATAATGTGATAAGTCGGTGACATGACTTTTTCTCGTAACATTGAAAACCTAATATGTAGATGCATGATAAACTTGCTTGTAAAACTTTTATCGTTTTGTTCACCTGAAATAACATATTTGCATAGCACAGTTTTTCAGTACAAAGAGTTATGCAATTTGAAACTAATGGTTCAAAGAACCAACCCAGAGCAATTTTATGGCCTTTAATTTGCATGCCAGATGGTCATATCGCACATAACTTTGTAGCTACGACATATACTCTAATCATTCTAAATTATAAGACATTTGAGCTTTTCTATATACTCCATGAAAGGACAGAGGACCTTCCCCCCGCGAAGGACCAGGTGGAGCATATATCCTTAATTTATGAGAAAAAAGCGCTTGTGCTGTTATTCTAAAGTCTCTGAAGATCATTGCGTTTCTTTGTTTCCGTATACACCATAGGGTCAGAACTGTCAACGTGTGTGCCATCTTCGTACCTTGACCCGTCATGTGGTAGAACCAATCTTCCATATCATTCTCAGTCGTCCAATGGGATGGAAATAAGTTTTGACCGTTGCTCCAGGTTGCTACAAGATCGCAAACTTTTCGCAAGAAGGGACATTCAATGAATAGATGTGTGACTTTCTCTAGGTTCTTTCACATAGCGCGCAGAAGTAGTTGTTTTTTCAGCCGCGTAGTTGGAGGCAAGTCATTGTCCAGAGCCTATTTTGTAGGAGTAGCCAAACGAAAACTTTGCATCGTGGAGGTGCCAAGACTCTCCATCCAAGTTTTGGGAAGTTCGAGGGGATCTGACTGCAAATTGAATGTTGTAGGCAGAGCTGGCCAAGTACTGTCCTGATCCTTCAAAGGTCCAGACTATTACATCTTTATAGGTATCTTCCAAGTTGATCCGGGCTGACTGTAGTGCGTTCCAAAGGATCAAGTATTCTCTCAGTAGGTCGTGGTCCAGATTGTAGGCAATGTCCCTAATCCAGACTTGTCCCGTGATGGCCTCTGTCACCGTTCAGTTCTTTCTTTTGCCCGTGCTTGTATAGGCAAGTGAATAGCCATGATGGGGCTTGGCCATGAAGCCAATTGGAGTTCCAAAATGATGCCTTCCAACCGTTGTAAACTGTTTGAGAGTAAAGAAAACATGTCAGAAATAAAAACTGCAATATTAATATTGGTAGGTGTCAGTTTTGGATTTGAAAGTTGAAACTCGAAAGTTCCATCATCTGAATGCACATTCAGAACCACAGATTTCCTTCTTAAAGTGTTTTTAGTTGAAAATGGAAGCCATGGAATGCTTTCCCGGTCTAATGAATAGGAATGGGTTGGGTCGACCCACTGGGTAGTTGACCTGACTCACAAAATAAAGACAAATGGTCGCGGGGCCGGTGGTCTCAAAGTTTAAAATAGGTTAATAGAGCTGGAATCTATTGACCCAATGGGTACAATGGATCGACACACATATCATATAATAATATTTTTCTTTAATTTGTTAATCTTTTTTTGAATAAGCACAGTTGGTGATAATTTGTGATCGTATCTATGCTTAGAAGTACACCGAAGAATAATATATTTTAAAAGTAAAAGTAGATAAAACTAAAGGAAATATTTGGCATGTTTTGAACATATTTGTACGCAGGACTATATTTTGAACCAAATGTTGTTTACACGTATGGCATGTTTGGCCAATTCATGAGCAACTACATTTGGTCAGTCCTTATTACAGTGTACTACATGATCTACCAGTTAACTAGATAATGAAAAAGGTACGGCGGCAGTAACAAGTATATAATATACGGGAGCAGGGGCAATATGATGCATTTTATTGTACGGTCAGAACTGTCAGCACAAACATGGCACAATAGGAACGCATGGTATGCCTTAGGGCCACGGGGCCAAGTCAAAAGCCAGGGCCGGGTCGGCCCATTCTCATCCTCTAATGTTATATCTTTGTGCCTTTGTAGTCTGAAGTTGACAGTGAAAGGACGATACTATTGTAACTGTGAGCATGGAAAGGGGAACATGTTCAACGTGGCCAAACCTTGGAAACAAACCTCCGGGTTCTAGACAGGTGAAGATATCACCGCTCACACAACGCAAGGCCAAGCCAAGCCGCCTCTGGGCACCCGATGGCATGGGCAACCTCGGCGTGAATCCGGCGAACTCATGCCCGCTCACGCTGCTGGGCTTCCTGGAGCGTGCGGCCACCGTCTTCGGCGACTGCCCCTCCGTTGTGTACCACGGCACGGTCTTCACCTGGTCCCAGACACACCGACGATGCCTCCAGCTCGCCTCCGCGCTTGTCTCCCTCGGCATGTCCCGCGGTGACATCGTAAGTCACCCTCCGTCGAGATTCTCCTTGTTTATGCATGTTTTTGCTTCGGTGGAATGTGGAATTAACAAGGCCATGAATCGGTCTGCATATATAGGTGTCCTTGCTGTTGCCGAACGTCCCAGCCATGTACGAGATGCACTTTGGTTTGCCCATGAGTGGCGCCGTGCTCAACAACATCAACACCCGCCTGGACGCGCGCACAGTCGCCGTCCTGCTTCGCCATTCCGGCTCCAAGCTCGTCTTCGTCGACCCGGCGTCTCTAATGCTCATCAGAGACGCGCTCCGGCTACTGCCGCCGGGGCACCCGATCCCGCGCGTGATCCCTGTCGAGGATCCTCATGAGGAGTTCCTAGGTGCCCCTGCTGACACGTTAACGTACAAGAGGCTTCTCAACAAGGGCGACCCGGAGTTCGCGTGGGTGCAGTCGGCGAGCGAGTGGGACCCGATTGTTCTGAATTACACCTTCGGCACGACGTCGCAGCCCAAGGGCGTGGTGCACTGCCACCGCGGGATCTTCTTGTTCACACTTGACACGCTCATTGAATGGGTGGTTCTGCCGAGGCCGACGTACCTATGGACGCTCCCCATGTTCCACGCCAACGGCTGGAGTTTCCCGTGGGGGATGGCTGTGGTGGGCGCCACCAACGTCTGCCTCCGCCGCGTCAACGTTGCCACCGTGTACACCGCCATCGCGAGCCATGGGGCCACCCACCTCTGTGGTGCGCCCGTCGTGCTTAACATGCTGGCCAACGCCCCGAGGCGGCGGCGACGCCGCGCCCTGAGAAAGTGCGCATCCGACGACGGCGCGCGCCACCCGCGGCAGCGATGATACAACGCGATAGAGGCCATTGGCTTTCATGAATCAGCCATGGGTACGTGCTAACCAAGGCTCGTGGCCTGCGGTGTCCCGCACTTGGAAGGGTGTGGGATGACTTCCCAACGCGTCGGGCGTGCATATGACCGGCGAGGCGGGCGCGGCGCACGAAAGCACGGGCAATTGGGGCAAAGTCGACATCATCGATAGGGAAACCGCAACAAGCAGTGTGCCCGCGACGCGCGTGTTCGCGGCGGTTGCGTCATGCTCAGCTATCTCAATGACGACGAGGCGACAAAGGCGGCAATACGTGAGGACGGGTGGTTCTACACGGGGGACATCGGCGTGATGCATCCGGACGGTTACCTGGAGATCCGAGACCGTTCCAAGGACGTGATCATCAATGCTGGCGAGAACATCAGCAGCGTGGAGGTCGAGTCGGTGCTTTACAGTCATCCGGCGACGAACAAGGCAGCTGTGGTGGCGCGACCAGACGAGCTACAAGGCGTGACACCGTGCGCGTTCGTCAGCCTCAAGAACGAGGCCCTGTTCGCTTCTCTTATAATCCGTACTTTTAGCTTGTTTTTTAGCCAGAATAGTGTTTTTCTCTCATGAGAAATCAGCCGGAACAGTGTTTCGGCTTGTTCTTTCAGCGAAGCGAACGGGCCAATGCGGCGGGCACGGTGACCGCGACCGACATCATTGCGTGGTGCCGGGAGCGCATGCCGCAGTACATGGTGCCCCGAACGGTTGTCTTCAGAGCTGAGCTGCCCAAGACCTCCACCGGCAAGATCCAAAAGTACGTGTTTCGGAACCTCGCCATGGAGATGGGGCTGGCCCGCAAGGCTGACGGCCGACGCTAGTGGCAGGCCGTAGCAAATATCAAGAAGGTGTACTCTTTTTTTTTTGCAAGTAAGCAATAAGGTGTACTCCCTCCCTCCCTTCTCAAGGATCACCTACATTTTAGATTTATAGAAAATATCAGTAACATTTGTATCTCCAAATAAGTGTATTACAAAAATATTTTCAATGAACAATTGTAACACCCGGGCTCAGGGCTTAATAGGATTAATATGATACTCGTACCAACAAGTTGCAACTTCTTTTCTGGAAGCCCATCTCTTAAGAACTCCAAGGTTAAGCGTGCTTGGTCTGGAGCGATGGGTGACCGACCGGGAAGTTCTTCCCGGGGGCGCATGAGTGAGGACAAAGTGCGCAGAAAAGACTGGTGTTGGTCTGTGAGGGCAGTATATGTCCTAGGAAAGATATCAGATGTAAGCGGGCCCATTCTCGGAGAGGTGGGATGTTACATAATGGTATTGCAGCCGACTCTCGCGGATTCACGGGCGCGTGTGTCATAGTTGCGCAGGCATGGTGCGTATGGCTGGTGTGGATCCGGTGTGGTCACACAGCATGGCACATACGCTGGCACTAGACACACGGACGTGGCTAAGAGGGGATGTTCCTGGCTTGGGATTGATCGACGAGGACATCGATCTCTTAAGGGGGTGAGGATGTAACACCCGGGCTCAGGGCTTAATAGGATTAATAGGATACTCGTACCAACAAGTTGCAACTTCTTTTCTGGAAGCCCATCTCTTAAGAACTCCAAGGTTAAGCGTGCTTGGTCTGGAGCGATGGGTGACCGACCGGGAAGTTCTTCCCGGGGGCGCATGAGTGAGGACAAAGTGCGCAGAAAAGACTGGTGTTGGTCTGTGAGGGCAGTATATGTCCTAGGAAAGCTATCAGATGTAAGCGGGCCCATTCTCGGAGAGGTGGGATGTTACAGAATGGTATTGCAGCCGACTCTCGCGGATTCACGGGCGCGTGTGTCATAGTTGCGCAGGCATGGTGCGCATGGCTGGTGTGGATCCGGTGTGGTCACACAGCATGGCACATACGCTGGCACTAGACACACGGACGTGGCTAAGAGGGGATGTTCCTGGCTTGGGATTGATCGACGAGGACATCGATCTCTTAAGGGGGTGAGGATGTAACACCCGGGCTCAGGGCTTAATAGGATTAATAGGATACTCATACCAACAAGTTGCAACTTCTTTTCTGGAAGCCCATCTTTTAAGAACTCCAAGGTTAAGCGTGCTTGGTCTGGAGCGATGGGTGACCGACCGAGAAGTTCTTCCCGGGGGCGCATGAGTGAGGACAAAGTGCGTAGAAAAGACTGGTGTTGGTCTGTGAGGGCAGTCTATGTCCTAGGAAAGCTATCAGATGTAAGCGGGCCCAGCCTCGGAGAGGTGGGACGTTACAACAATCTAATGATACTTGTTACTCCCTCTGTTTCAAATTATAAGTCATTTTAACTTTTTTGGTTCATCCATTTTGCGATATATCTAAACATATTATTATATCTGAATGGACAGCAAAATGGATATACCATAAAAGTAAAAACGACTTATAATTTGGAATAAAAGGAGTATATACTATAAATGTTAGCAAATAGATGTACCAAAAAAATCAAAGCAACTTATATTTGATCAAAGTTGTGTAGGTTTGACTCTTCGATGTGTGAGAAAGGAACTTACAAGGGGACGGAGGGAGTAGTGGTTGCCGATTACTGTCATCCTTGGCAAGGGCATGTGTCCAGCTTGGTCTATTTTCTTGGTTGGCGATAGCATACTCTCTCCCTCACAGAGTGGCTCGCTTGGTAGAGCTACAATTTTAACTAAAATAGTTCTGCTTATTTGGTGGAGCAGTTTTTATTGGGTCCACTTCATACGTGAACCCACCTGTCATTGGGTTCACCCTTTTATTCCCCTATACCTCTCATCTCTCCGCCTCTCTCTCACGGATCTCTCACACCCGCATCTCTCTCATAGATCTCCCTCGCCATCCCCAATCCCTGTGCAACTGTAACAGAACCGACCAATTATACGAAATTAAGTAAGAAAATCATCCGCCAGGGCAGACGATTTAGCAAACTTAAGCCCGTATAACCCGGTAGTCCGTGAAATCACGAAGGATTTCAAACCAACTTCCATTCCAGCTAAGATCGTAATAAGTTTAGCGGTCACCATCACATATTACATAAAAGTTTACATCACAGATACATCAGAGTTTCAACATAGTTATTACAAAACCAGTTCGAATAAAAGTAGCGGAAGTCATTTGTTCAAACCACACACACACGCGGAGTTCAAATATAGTGCCAGCTAATGATCATCTCCAACAAAATCATTAGACGAGACGTAAGGAATGACCATGCCCATGGTCCTAAGCATCACCCATCACAGGATAAAGGCAGTTGATATAGTAGCCGTAATACATCTGCCCATCTGCAACAAGTGGGAATAAAACCCTGAGTACGAGAAGGTACTCAGCTAGACTTACCCGACATAACCGAAAATAAATGACACCAAGGATTATGAAGGCTTTATAGTAGGGTAGCTGACTCATTTGCAAAAGAAGCATTTTTAACATTTCAAGAACCTTTCTAAAAGCGTTATTGTCAACTTAATTATTATTAACCTATCGACTAGATTTGCATCTATACTAGAGTAAACATGTGATTAAGCAATTAATGATAACCACTGATCATTAAACAACTTTCATACTGTCATATTCACTATAACTGTCCAAGTGTTCCATAAACATTTACTACGATGAAGTAACTCAAGTCAAGTGCTCACTATCCAGGAGCGATGGCGATTCGAATCGATTCCTAACCAGCTGGTGATTTATTCCTTACACAAATCTCACTCACCCGCTAAAGTGAGATATTGATCACCGAGTCAACTTTCCAGGTATCTCGAGTTTGCCAGGAACCACATGTACCCGGGGGCCGACCGACTGCACTTTGGTCTTATCATCCCGCCCCCGTGTCCTACCACACCTGCTTCGGCACAGTGCGCTGCGGGCAATCTACTCGGCCCGAAAAATCTCCCAGCTTCGCGGTCGGAAGGTACTTTATCCGGCCAGCTAAATGTAAGGCATGCGTTCAACATGACTCGAGGCCCAACAACGGTCGGTCCTTAATCGACACAGACGGAAACACTACAGTCCAAAACTCTGCAAGTCTCCGTCCGGTCTCAACTTCATTTAACACTTAGTTATACCATGACTTCATAGCCATCCAAGCAGATCCAGGTAACCACCTATAGCTCGCAGGTGACAGGAAATCACCCGACTTCTACCGGTCTAAGCCAGCTAAGCATTGACTCGACTGCGGATACCAGGGTAACAAGGATATAGTATAACAAAGGTAAACAAGGTATAATGCAGCAACGGTTGCAAACAACTCCTGAACGTAATGCATCAATTTAAAGTAAAGCATTTAATGAAATCATTGCAAACCGGGAGAAAGATGCTCCGGGGCTTGCCTCTCTCGAAGGAGCTCGGACGGTGATCGGGGCACTCCGGAAGTTCCTCAACGTCCTCCTCGTCGGCTTCTGGCACTTCCTGCGGCTGCACCTCGAACTGCTCCTCAGGATCCTCGGGAATGACGACTAGGTTCTCGGTTTGCGATCCTGTATGATGCAATGCGTGTAAGTGCCTATGCAATCGGTGCATCGGATGAGATGAATACAATGGATATGTTCGAATGCAAGGTAGTCACATCATCCAAGAAAATATACCACAAGCACATGTCATCTACTGCATTCTCTTCTACTACTAATAGGTTAAGTCAACACCCTTATCAAATGCTTCAAAGATACACCAAAGCTATTATTATTAACTAATCTTGTATTAAAGAGGATTATTTTATTTCCTTTTAAACTAGGGCTACAACAGCAACCTATATTTCTGGTGCTTATAAAAATCTAAGAAAATTACAGTAGTATAGTACTACTCTAATTAGACTACCATCAAATTTTCATGGTGTTTGAATGAGTGGATTAGCCTACACAAAAATAACAAGCTATGGCATGATTTTGTACATGAAAATACTTTGTACTGTGAAAAGTGTCAAACAACAGAGTTAGCATTTTTCCTGTGTTCTCCATAGCATATAATGACTGTACAAAAATTGTCACATGCATGTTTTATACAAAATTTGTTCTCTAGCAAAAATAACAAAAATTAGCTATTAAAGGGACTTGCACTACACCTCAAAATTTTCCCACAACACATGCATGAAACATATTTTTCCTAGGAAATACATGACATAAGAAGATTAACAAACTTTGAATCATATTTTTCTAAAGCCTATAGATTTTTCTACATATTTTTCAAGTTATCAGCAATATTCATGATTAAATAAAATTCTACAGCAAAGTATCTCAAAAATGACATGCACAATTTTCAACAGATAGATATAGTTACAAGAAGCATAACAAAATTTGTTTCATACATTTTGGAGCAACACAACTTGAGATATACATTTACTAAGCATTTGAATCAATTCTTGAAACTATTTCTAAAAACCCTTTTCCTTCAAACGAAAAACCAGCGAATGCAAACGTTGGGTGCACCCGGTGCTGTGCACCCGGGGTTTTCCCTCGGTCGCTGCAGCTGGGCCCCGCATGCCAGACGGGCCCGCGTGACAGCGACACAGAACAGGGGAGGCGGCTCTGCGCTACGCGGCTCGGCGCTATCTCGCCGGCGACGAGCATTCCGGCGAGGCCGAGGTCACCGGCGTGCCCTACTCAACAATGCACACCGATTGGGGTAGGTGATGGGAGGGTGGTGCCATCGGAGGTAGCTCGCCGACGCCCATGGCGGCACGGTGGAGGAGCCCGGCGGCGCGCCGGCCATCTCCGGCCATGGCGGCACGAACTGAGGTTGGCGTGAGCATCTAGGGTACGTAGGGAAACTGATGGAAGGGAGAGAAAGGAGTGAGCAGGCTCCGGTGGTGCTTGGCCACGGCGAGCACGCACTCCGGCGAGGCGTCAGCCATGGCGGAGCTCAC